TTTTTTTTTTTTTTTTGCTTTTCTTTTTTCTGTTTGTTCCTTTGCAACAGCAGTAAACAGCAAATAGCAAATAAGCAAATAACAAACAACAAAATCAGCAGCGGCAGCAGCATACAACAACAGCAACGGAATCAGCAGTTTTTTTTTGCACGGCTAAATTTTTGCGTATTTTAATGTTTTATTTTCTTTATTGTTTTTTTTTTCTGCTTTTCTTTTTTCCTTTGCTCTTTTTTTCTCCTTAATCTATCCTTTTGTTGGAGCGTGAAATATAACAGATAAAAATTTGTCGATTTTTGGGAAAGAGGTGGGAGAGGATTGGCCGATATGATGATGATGACGACGGCAACGACGATGATGACGATGATGATGTGTATGATGCGTGTATGTGTATATATTTATATATATTGAGTGCAGTCGGGTATATGTTTGTTATGCTTAGAGCAATGATAGAAGCGGGGATAAAATAAACGTTTAAGAAGCAGTAGTAGTAGCAACAGCACCAACAGCAGCAGCGGTAGCGTCAGTAGAAGTCGAAGGAGAAGATGAAGAAGAAGGCGAAAGAAGAGGAGCGGCAGAGGACAGATGCCAACTTAATCCACTTTTATATAACACAGATATATACATTCAATTTTTGTTTCAATTGTACCTCGGAAGATGCATTCTTATCCAATTACTTGATGTGTTGTTTTTCTTCGATTTTCACTTTGCTCCTTCTGGCCACCTTCTGTTCATATATATATACGTATATATATGTAAACCTTCTGGCTCCTTTTTTTAGCCTTCATTTTGCTTTTGGTTCTTCTCTTTGCATTTGTCTTAACACTTTCATTTTTTCTTTTTCTCTCCTCTCTTTTTCTTCACCAAAACTACACGAATATGTATATATATATAATTCCGTTTCATTGTTTCCTCGAACAGTTTCGTTAGTTACAACCTACAAACAATAACAAACATAAACAACACCACCACAAGGTCGGTGCTGCAGCAGCAGCAGCAGCAGTAACGGGCAAGAACAGAAACGGTAATACCCATCATCATCCGGGATCGCCATCACCATCACCACTGGCCACAACCACCAGAATTGGTAAAAACACAAAAGACAACCATTTAGAAAGAAAGAAAGAAACAAAAAACAAAGCTATAGATGCTCATTAACCTCAGCAAGTATGTGGCATATTTAATGTTTATGCATTAATCTATCCGTTTTCTTGTTTATGTTAGAAAAAAAGCCACTTTTTTCCGCGAGACGACCCTAATTGTTTTGAGGGTTTTTTTCCGTCAGTCGTTTCCTACTGTTATTGTTGTTGCCAACTGCTACCGCGAGTAATAAACAAACAAACGAATAAAAACAGAAAAATCATTAGGAAAGTTTCCTGAACAGTACGGACATTATCACAGATAAATTACATATGTCTGCGATGGTGTTTCTGCACAGCCACTGTTCTGATGACATGGATAAATATGTTAAAGTGAGTAAGTACTAAACAACTATAAATATATTCCATGCTTTCTGTTTTTTTTTCTTTTTTTGCTTTTTAATTCAGGTAGATAGCAGTCAGTTCAGTTTTTTAATCTATTAGACTTTTTCTTGTTTCTTCCTTCTGTCTCTCCTTTTGTTCAATTATTTTGGTTCAGCGGCCCCGGAAATGAAGAACAACAAATAAAAACTAATATTCTAATCAGCTCTATTGTCGGTTTGCTTTTTTGAAACCTATTTACTTTAAAGTTTTTGTTTTAACACGTTCTTTCTACTCTTCCGTTATCTGTTTGTTTTTACTGATAACTTCTCAAATTACCGTAGAAACCAAGAAACCGTTGTGTATATGGATCCTTAACTTCTGAATTCAACCAAATTTCTGCCAAAGCTTCCTACAGTTTTTTTTCCTTCTATTCATCAATTAAAGCCGAAGAAAAATAAAAACAATTTAAAAACAATCCATCAGGTCAATTGAACACCTATTTTTGACCACTTATAGTTTGTCGGTCAAACCATTCAGAAGAATTTTTTTGTGCTTATAAACCTTGAAATACATCTGCAAAATGGACTAAAGAGTTGCCGTGTGTTTTTGTCTGTTGATCTTTTTAATACTGAAAAGCTTTTTGGGAGTTAACAGAAAAGAAGAAGCTATAAAATCTTTGTGGTTAGTCCTCCTCTCTTGTTATTATTATTTTCAATATGGTATAACTGTG